GAGGAGGAGAGAACAGCCATAGGAAAGATGCTGCTGCTGTGGTCAAAGGCCAGCAAGAGCAAGCCGTGCACCTGTGTCAGGATCCCCAGCTGTTTTTATTGTTAAATTAAATGGAAGATTAAGCACTGAGAGCTGGCAGTAACTTGGTGAGAAAAATAAGCTCTCATTTAAACCTCACACCTGGGCCGTACGGAATCATGATGCTATTTTACAGACACAGAAACAGAACTTGAGAAAGTGAATTCATCACCTAAGATCACTTGGCCTTTGCCTCTAGAGCATGGCAAAGCCAGGCTGCCTACCTTGCTCCGACCCACTCCAAGACACGTGCTCTTAACCAGTCTGCTTTTGATAAAACTTGTATGTCCTTGAACTTAACTGTGGATTTCCTTGATGGCAGGGAGTGTGACCTACTCACTCTGTAATGCCTGGTGCCTGACATGCAGCAGGCGCTCAATCTGAGTATGGTAAATTGGAACACAGATGTGAAATGAAGTCCTACTAGTTCTGTCATGAAGAATATTCCCCAGCTAGCTCAAAGGTAATTAATTTGCCTGAGTCATACAGCAAGAATGTGATGCTCTGTCATGTGACCCCTGTCAGCCCTGAGCAAACTCTCACTGAGGACATACTATGTGCAGGGTGAAGCTAGTCAAGCAGATAAGTAAAGAGGGGACTACAAGTGAGGTATTGCAGGCACTAGGGGAGCACAGAGGAGGATTCCCAGCTGAGCGGAAGGAAGAGGGGATAAGGACTAGTTACTGGGCAGGTAACACCTGTCACCTGACCAATGAGTGAGAGACGCCAAGTGCCAAGTCTTCAGTGAAGGCAAAGGCTGAAGCAGGGAGGCATGGGAGGGAACAATGGCTTCTTTCTCCGGATAATGTGGGTCAGTTCTTAGAATTTCCAGCACAGACGTCCATCTCAGTTGGTCCCAGACCTCCCTGCCTGAACTTGAGTCTCAGGAGCTGTCCATCCTTACCCTATCAAATAGAATCAGTTCAAGGGTCCTCAGCTCCTGCAAAATTTAAACAGCCTGACTCTTTAGGGCTGCACTGTCCAATATGGTAGCCACTAGCCGCATGTGGCTATTTAAACTTAAATTTAAATTAATTGAATTTAAATAAAATTAAAAGTACTTCTCAATCACACTAGCCACATTTCAAGTGTTTGATAAGCACTTGTGGCTTGTGCCCAGCTTACCGACAGCACAGTTGTAGAATGTGCCATTGTTGCAGAAAGGTCTGTTGGACTCCACTGCTCTAGGGCTTCTTTGCCTTCCCAGGGTGGCCTGGAACTCTGGCCTGGAAGTAAACGGCATTTCCTCTCTGGCCAGTTTCCCATTGTTCCCTGATTTTCAGTCTCCCCTGGTTCCCAGTCTGAGGAGTTTGAGTCTGGGCTGCTGTCTTCTGAGGTGTTTCAGCCCCGCTGCCCTGCTCACCTCTTGACCCTCATAGTGACGTCAGGTTGCCACTCATTTTTCCGAGCTCTTCTCCCAGCCCACATTCCTCAGCAAGCTGTTCAGCTGAGTACTGTCTTGTTCTTCCCCAGCCAAGCAGCCTAAATGGCAGTTCTTCAAATGAAGCCTAGATTTTCTCTCCCCAAGAGATGAAAGCTCCACCAGAGGTTTGAGGCATGCTTCTGCCCCTTATGGGGTGATTCGAATAACTTTGGGCAAATCGCTGAACTCTTCAGTAAAGCACAGAAATACATCAGAAGGAAATGATGAAGTTTCCGTAATCCTACAAAGTTCCCCTCGTGGTCCTTGGTCTACATTCTCTTCCTGTGAGATGGTAGTCAGAAATCCTCCTGGCTTCTCCAGTGAAGGAGAAGCCACATCTTATTGAAGGCTCTACCTGTTAACCCTTTCCTTTCACATCACCCCTCTTCCCTGCCTTAAGATGCCCTCCAGTCCGACCCGAGTCTCATGTGTGCCACTTGTTCCTCTGGGGACCTGTCAAGGCCTTACCTTGCCCAGAAGTCATCCCAGGTGGGACGGTGCTCCTGACTTGTGGAGAGCTGAGTGACAGTTCTTGGCCAGGACAGAGGCTGCTCCTGTCCCATTGGCTCAGCTGTCTTTTTGCTGCCTGTTTGCTGCTTCAGAACACAGTGTGTCCAGAGTCCTGACATCACTCCCTAACGTTAGACCCACATCAAAGTGGATGTCTATTAAGAAGAACGCGGTGCCTTCTCCATCCAGCCTCCTTAACAAGATGTTGACAAAGATGTTGACAAAGATGTTTCCACAAAGATGTTGACAATTATGGTGTCTATGTATAGGATTCCTTTGATGTGAGTGCTGGGCATTGCATTGGGTTTCTTGTTGCTGCCTCTCACAACAACCCTGCAAGCTAAGTAGTATTGATTCCATACTTTCCGATGAGGAAACCGAGGCTCACAGGAGTTCAGGATTTCAGATAGTAAATGGCCAAGCTAGAATTAGAAGCCGAGTGCACCTGGCTCATGACTTTGACCTTTCCATTGGCCCAGCCTCTCTCTACTGCTGATTGAGAGGGGCTTAGTGTGTTATGCCTTCAGGGGAATTTGCTTTCTTTTTCAGAAAGTACTGGAAATGAGTCTTAAAGACTGTCTTTCTAATGATGGGTTTATAGACACCTGGATAGGCAAGGGAGTCATATTTGGGGGCAGCAATCTGCTTGGTATCCTTCGGCCAACCTCCCAATGACCCTGTGTGGGCATCAGAGAGCCCCAGCCTCCGACACCTCTGCTTAGGGCCAAGCAAAAGGTCCTGAGTCAGAGCTGACAGATGGTGTCACATAGTGCCCCCAAAAGTAGGAATCTGCTTGCCAATCCCTTTCCATGCAGGGTGAGATCCCAAAGTCAGGGCAAAATAAGGGGCAAGGAGAGGCGGAGTAAAGGGAGAAATAAATAAAGGAGTCCGTTTTTCTTTAAAAAAAAAAAAAATCCTTTGCACAGACTGTGAATGATAAAGCCTCCTGGCTTCAGGAAATTGATTCTGGCAGAAATCTTGGTTCAGTTCGATTCTTTTGGTTCCCATAGGGATCTTTGGGTGATAATAAAAGCTCTGTGTCTGGAGCAAACATGGAGCCACAACAATTATTTGCAAAGTGAATGTCTAGTCATCTGGAACCAGAAATAAATTCAGTATGAGTATCAAAAGTAAAAGTCAAGGGGCATAACACACTTAACTAGAAACACCTATATGCCCTCCTGTGCGTAAGCACACCCAGAGAAGTCCTGGGCTCTTTATCTGTCATTGGAGTATGGTGCTTTCCTGCCTGGGTGTGTGTTCGGCTGATGACACCATACCATTTCAGCCTACTCCCCTTCTGCTGCTATCATGGGCAGGATGTAAAGAACCAGGATTCATTACACTTGGATTATAAACTTTTGCATACAGTACTTCAATGCAAATGTCCTAACAGCCATATGAGATGCTGCTCATTATTTCTCGTACACATTTCATTCAGGAGGCAATGTGACTTCAAGAACATAATTGACCTGTGCTGGCTCACACAGCTAAGTGTCGGTAGATTCAGTATATCCCCAGGCCCATGGTGAATGGGGTGTCTTGGTTAGAACCCAGGGACCAATTTTTAAATTTCAACTCTACTACTAAATATTAGTGTGAGCTTGGGAAAATCTCTTCCCCTCCCAGAGCCTCAGTTTATTCATTTGTAAAAAAGAAGATATTGGCTTCAATTTTGTCGGCAAACACTTTCATCTAATAGTCTGTGGTTTTATTATCCTATGTAGCCACTGCTGGTCTCATAAATAAGACACTATAAATGACTCACATCACATGTATTCTTCTGCAAATTATACGTACATATTTTTGCTTAACAACATCTTCCTGAGTCATCCATGTTGTTGCCTATCGCCATTTTACCATTTTACATATTCGATAGGATCATACTGGATGATTATACTCAATGTCTTTATCCTTTCTACTATTTACTCCAGGCACACATTCAAGTGATTTCTGGGTTTTCTGCTTTTTTGAACAATGCAGCTGTGAACATCTGAAACATGTCTGCCAATCCCTTTCCATGCATACATGTAGGAATTTTTCTGGGGTATGTATCTAAGGAGTGGAGATGCTGGGTTGTATTTATTAGGTAATGCCATTTATTTCCAAAGTAGTTACCCTCCACTGGGAGTAAAGGAGAGTTCGTGATGTTCCACGTTTCTCAATACTTAAAAATTTTGCCCATGTTATGAGTTATAAATATTGTTTCATTTTGCATTTCCCTTATGAGCTATTTGTATTTCTTTTTCGGTGAAATGTCCGTGTCTTTGGAGTTTTTCTAAAGGATTCTTTGCATTTTCTTACTGTTTGCAGTTCTCTTCTCTAATCTTCTGTCAGGTACTCAAGTTGCAAATACCTTGAACACATCATGACTTACCTCATTCTCTTTTTGATATCTTGTAGTGAACAGAAGTTATTAACCATAACAGTGAATGTATTGATCTTTTACAGGGAGTGTTTTTTGGGTCTCAGGAAGTCTTTCTTTAAGGAAATCTCCTTGAGAAGGTAAAGATATTATCCTATATTGTCTTCTAAGTTTTACAATATTGCTTTTCATGTGTGGATGTTTAATTTCATCTGGGGACTTTTATTTTTGTGTATAATGTGACGTAGGGGCTCAATACCATTGTTTTTGATATGGATAATCAATTATCACAGCCTCATTTATTAAATGTATGCACACTTGCTCCCAAGCCATCTATTCTGCTCTATTAGTCAATATTTTGTTGTTGTTGTTGAGACGGAGTCTCGCTCTGTCGACCAGGCTGGAGTTCAGTGACCGGATCTCGGCTCACTGCAAGCTCCGCCTCC